ATGAGATTTAATTTGATTTATAGATTGTAATATCGCCAATGATTTCAAGATGGAAAATTGAACAAAAATCGATGATTATCAATACTAAAAATGTTATAGAAAAAAATAGGAGATAAATTAGAATATTTAATTTTTTTTCATAGTCATTTTAATTAGTGAAAAGGGACTTGCAAATAGAAAATTTATCTAGAGTAGGGGTGTGCAGAAAGTCATCCGATCCAATTCAATCGATCGATCCAATTAGAACCGTCCGACCATCATCGGATATCCAATTGTAATTGGATTGAATCGGATCCAAAATTTCAACATCCAAATCAGATCGGTTGGTTCTTGGATGACAGTCCAACATCCAATAAAACTGAATCGATCAAATACAATGATAATTCTATATAGTTATTAATGTTTTACGATTTTGTTTTTCAATTGATAATTCTATACATTGCTTTTTAATAACTTTAAAAAATATACGAATAATTGGTTGAGTATTGGATCGAAGGATTTGATGAATCAAATATGATACAATGAATAACCAATAATAACATCCAACGGATGGAACCGATCCGGCTATATCATCCACTAGATTTGGATCGCATCGAATGTCCAATGTTAATCAGATTGGATCGGATGACAAAATCCAACATCCAATGGATGATAGGATTGGATCGAATCAGATCCACCTAAATCCATTGGATCTCAACCGATGAACACCGCTAATCTAGAGGTAGAGATTGCTTCTCCCATTCTTAAAATTTTGGGACTTCTCATTTAAACCATACACATACATACATGTATGTATGTAACCGTAAAAAAATTGAGAACTACGAGAACTAATCTTATCTATCAAATGATTTTCACTTAAAGGTCCTATAAACTTATTGCAACGACTATAGTTTGGATGCTTTATTATCTGGTACTATAAATTAAGTCTTATAAAGTAGTATATTATGTCGCTTAATTTTTTTTGGCATCATATGAACCTAATTTTGTTGTAACGATAGTTTTTCTTAATTATTTGAAGAATCAGTATTTCGTAATCTTAGTTTATAATTTTTATTTTAATTATTTGTTTATATTTTAACAATCTCATATTAACCAAACTTAATTTTCAATATTTTGATCGCATATTTCAATTCTCAGCCTAAAAGATTATGTGAATTTATTTTGATTTCCTTTATTTTTTAAATTTGAGAGTTTTTAATGCTAATTTTTTTATGAGCTTAATAGTTTTTAAATTAATATAAAGATTTTTATTTAATATATATTTAATTTTAATAAATTTGATTTGTGATTAGATGTATAAAATATTTTTTTAAATAAAAAATTACGAAAAAACGTGAATCACATTAAACTTTAGAGCATATTACATTTTTGGCTCCAATAGTTTGTTCAACAATAAATTAATCTTTCATAACGGTTGCTAACTAACGTTGTTAAGTAAAGGGACCATAAATGTTATGAAAATGAAACGTTAGGAACTACCAATGTAGATAGTTTATTTTAGGGATCATATCCAAAATTTGAGCAAACAATAGAGACCACCAGTGTAATTCACTAATTTTATTTTAATTTTTAACTTTTAATAATGTATTTTAAAAAATTATAGTAATGAAACTTAATATGATAGACATCCAAGTAGGGGTGTTCATGGGTTAGATTGATTAGGTTGAGACATTACATAACCCGATGTTTGCGGTTTGAAAAATCTCAATCCAACACTCAACCTAACTAAAATGCAATCCAACCCAAACTGTACGGTTAGTTATGTTGATACTTTGGCATATCAAAATATTATTCAAACCTTGAATATGTTGTTTTCTGTACTCTTTTCGTTGTTTCTTTTCCATCATCAACTATTTTGTACAACTTATCTATATTTCTTAAATTTTAAGTGCATGACATTTAATTAAATTTTTTTCAATTTGCACACACACACACATATATATGTTCACAATTATTGAACATATATATAAAGGAGTTATATAGAGATGAAGACCAAATTGAAAATATATGGATAAAGAGAGGGTATGCAATGGTGTAATTGTTTAATGTACATATTAATAGAGACTCAACAATCATATTAAATCTAATAAATAAAAGAATATCAAATTCATCGAATTGAGTTGAGTTCAAATAAAAGTAACTCAATATCAACCCAATAACTATGATTTGAAAATTTTACAATTTGATTAGTCATCAGATTACTTCCGGTTGATGAAGTTTTTAAGTACAGTTGCACTTGCACCTAGACATGGCCTTAAAACCGGTCCTGGGCCAAAATAGTGTCTGTTGGACCTGTCCTCGTCTCGTCGAAATGGTTAAGCCCAGTTAAGCTTTATTGTAACCGGGCCCAAATTAGTCCTACCTAAAGACATTTTTTAATTCTTTTTGAATTTTTTTGATAGATTTTTAGTAATACACTTTAAAATATGTAATTGGGTAACTTAAATACACTTTAAAAATACGTTTTATTACAATTTCGATTTAGTAAATCATTTAAAATTACATTCAAATATTTAATCATTTAAAAATACACTTATTCATCATCGGAATCCCATGTTAGATTGATTTGAAGAATTTCGATAGCTTGCATTCTTCTAATAGCATCTTGGTCATAAAGATCATCAATGTCGAGTTTTTTATCATCGTCATATTGTGAATAAACGTCATCAGTATCGTCATATCGGTGGATGACCACTAGAACTAGTTACCGTAAATAAACGACTTGAAGAGATTTGTTGTTGGCTTCCTCCCCACAAAAATGTTTATAATAATCAAATAAATCTTGAAAATTACGATTAAACAAACGTCTTTGTTTCATTTAAAAAAGAATTATCTGCAACTGTATCTAAATCAAATGTCACATATTTGGTGTAATTTAAACTTCAACACCGATAACATTTAAATACGAGTTTAACGTCGTCGACACAAAGAAAAACAAATGAGATGCTAATACAATATTTAAAATTTTCTTTTTCATTGAACTCATCAATATTCCCTAATCGTGATGGTTTTTGTATTGTGCAATCTTACTTGTCAAAATATATAATTGATTTAAAAGTAAATGGCTTGTTGGATAATAAATATCAAATAAACGAGTTGTCACATTTTTAAAATCGCCCAAAATATCATATAATCCTTCAACCACGACCCAATCAAGATTTCCAATAGATTTTTGCGGGTAATAGTGTTTATAAAATGAAAAAAATATAATTTTTTTGTTTAGCGAATTTTCAATCATAAAATAAGTCGAATTTCATCTAACGGGCATTATCAAACCTCGGTCCAAAATTTTATAACCAACGTTTTCACAATATTTTCTATATTCCGCGTGCATTTTCTTATTGGTTTGTGAAAATTCGTCATAACATAAGTCTAAACTAATCTATTACGGGTTTACAAGTATTTAAACCGTCTTGAACGGCTAAATTTATTATGTGTGCACAACAACGTGTATGAAATAATATACCATTTAAAATAGGGGCCAAATGACACTTTAAATTTTCCACGTATAGATTATTATTAACAACGTTATCAAATGAAATGCTAATTATTTTAGAAGATAAATTATAAAGTGCAAAACATTTTTAATAGGTGAAAATTGGCGTGCACCCGAACGTGGCGCACCAAACGTTCAAAGGTGATTACACGTTTGAATAATTGCCACGATTGCGGCTCAACCCAATATGTCGTTATGCATATATAAGAAACCGACAATTGGTGTGGTGCGCTCTATACATCACACGTTAAATAAATGTTGGTAGGCAAAATAGAAAACATTTGCTGCATTTCATTCCGACACATTTTAATTGTATCACGTCTAAGAGTTTGATGACTTACCAACTTATATCGTGGTTGTAATGTTTTTTGGATCAACTTCGTACTGTGAGGGTTGTCGAAATATCCGAATGACACTTGACTTGAATGACACATTGTGTTGTCATTTGTCGGTTCAACTCGACATCAAACGTCTATATTTGACTTTGATTGTCAAGTATCGGCCGACTCGAATCGCCCCCAACCTCAACCCCGGGCACATTTTCCGATGTGCCGCTTTAAAGTTGAATTTTCTTCCGCCGCAAGTAGAGCTTGACACATTTTGCATTGAGTCTTTCTTTTCCGTTCGTGAAGATCACCATATTGTATATGCATTCAAATCTCAGACTTCCATTCATGCTCGAAGAGAACTTGGACAATTTGTTTGTTTGATGCATCATGTTGTTCACTGACCATTTTGGAATACAAAGAGATAAAGAAATGATAATTGAGAAGTGGAAGCGAGAAACAAATACGAGCCGAAATCACAAATATAGCAAGAATTGTGAATATTTTTTTGCCTTTTTTTTACGTTTTATAATTGATATTTTACCCCATACACCATAACACTTATGTATAATGTTTAAGACGCCAAAATAACAAAAAAAAAGGGATCAAATTTTGAGAAAAAGATCATATAACCCATGGTTGGACCCAATTTTTTTTAAATGGTGGCACCATTTGACTAAGAAAACGACACTAACAGAATTCGAACTTGAGTTCGGATGGAATAAAAGTCTTGCAAACCAACTCTACCAAATAAAACGTGTTCTCATTGTAGTTTCAAAATACATATGATGACACACATCAAATTATACGGTTGCACCTATCACGAATCTAATTTCTTTTACCCTTCAACAAAGAAATAATACGGTGACACGTGCCACCGTATGCCCTATAATAGGTCCATCCATGATATAATCTTTGGTCAACGGTAAAAAAACGGTCGAAAATTTGAATTTCCAAGCTGGACCAATCCCTTTGAAACTTCCAAAAACAACAAACGATCCCAAAACCGGTTCCTTGCCGGTCCCGGTTCTGATCCTCCGCCGATCCCAAACCGGGCCAGTTTGCCCATGTCTACTTGCACAGTTGCACTGAAGTGGAGAGAGAAATTTGTTAGGGTAATTAAAGGTATTTAATTACGTCTCACTCAACGACTCCACTCCTCAACAAACTCTGAATCTTCCTTTATTCTGAATCTCTCTCACATGGAGTAGCACAGCCATAACAGCCATCTCCTCCTCCCAACATTTTCTTCTAAGTTTCAAAAGGATTCAAGTCAACTTTAACTCTCATCTTCATTCACATAGGACGTCTTCTCTTCCCTCAACAATTTTCAGATCTGAATTCCTCAACTCTGAAGCTTGCAAGTTTCACCAGGTACGTCACTGATTTACAAATTAATTTTGAATTTTGATCCATAAATAATGCTTCTTTTCATACTTTCATGCATCATCAATTTTGATAAGTTGGGAGCTATGTTTGGTGTAAATTCATTATTTTGGTGATCGTGACATACGATGCTGTTGGATTCCAGACCAGTGGTGTTTTTTATTTGTAATTCGCAAGAGTAATTATTTGTTTTGAAAAATAATGGTTAGAAATGTCTAATTCTTCCGGATATGGTTTCAATTTTAATTGCTGTAGCTGCAATAATCTTTTGGAAGTGGGTGGAGATGACGATTACTCTTTATTCGTTGTTAGCATTACTGTAGGTCTGTATTTGTGTTCCCCAAAACAAGTACACAGATTGAGTTGTAGTAGTAATTTGATATGGATATTTTGAAAACAATGAATTCAGTAATTGATAATTCCTTTGTTACGAGGAGGAAAGAAAATATTTATAATTGGTCTTTTGAGGTCAAGATGCTAATTTTCATCTCCAAACATTGACATGAATCCGTCATCAAAACAGTAAACAGATACTATACACACACACACACATATATATCAGGAACTGCCAAGTCTTGAATTTATAATAAAATGAGTAGTTAATAATTCATTAGTTTATATAAGAATATCATTACTTGGTTTACTTGAAAGAAATACAGTATTTCCCTTAAGAAATACAGTATTTCCCTTTTCTTTCTACTCTTTTCCCTAGTAGCAATCTAAAGAATTCAGAGCAATTTTGGTCTGTGAATTTGTTGCTACAATAATGTTACAAGTAGAAGTTTGGAAAAAGGCTAGCAAAAGGAACAAACCAAGGAAACACAATATTCTAGGAGCTAAAAAAGGACAGCCAATAAAAGCGATTGGGAGGTAAACAGGAGAGTGAATCATGCAATTTTATACTCCCCCTCAAGGTGGAGCATGGAGATTTCGCATGCCCAAGCAGGAATTCAAGTTGTTTTGATCCCAGAGCCTTGGTGCGAAGATCGGCTATCTTCATTTTAGTGTCAACATGAAATGGTTCAATTTCTTGTGACTCGACCCGTTCCCTGACAAAGTAACAATCCATCTCGACGTGCTTTGTCCGTTCATGGAAAACGGGATTATTAGCRATGTGYCGRGCCRCTTGGTTGTCGTAGTACAGGGCTGTAGGTCCGTTTTGTTCTGCTCCAAGATTCTTTAAGAGCCATCGCATCCAAAGAATTTCACTAGTAGTAGTCGCCATCGCATCCAAAGAATTTCACTAGTAGTAGTCGCCATCGCTCGGTATTCCGCTTCGACCGAAGATCGGGAAACAACAGATTGTATCTTGGATTTCCAAGACAAAAGAGCTCCCCCCAAGAGTAAGAGATACCCAGTTCGAGACCTTCTTGTGGTGGGACACCCTAGCCAATCGGCGTCACTATATGTGACTAGATTTGTTCCTCCATCCTTAGGAAAGAAAATGCCTTGTCCCGGTGTGGCCTTTAAGTACCGAAGGATTCTCATGGCAGCGTCTCAATGTCCTTGTTTTGGATTGGAGACAAATTGGCCCAAGATATTTACGGAATACGCGTGATCCGGTCTGGTAGCCTGAAGATATAGTAGTCTCCCAATAAGCCTTCTGTATTTTCTTGCATCCACACGAGTGTCTCCATTTTCTTCTTCGAAATTTTGATTCGACTCCATAGGAAACGAACTCGGTCTACACCCTAACATTCCGCTATCCTCCAAAATGTCAAGGGTGTAATTTCGTTGACTTAGGACTAAACCGTCCTTTGTTCGCGCAGCTTCGATCCCAAGAAAATACTTTAGAAGGTCGAGATCCTTGATGCTAAATTTTTCGTCAAGATAGTTCTTTGTTCCTTGTATTTATCTTGGTCGCTTCCCACTATTATGACGTCGTCGACGTATATGAGAGCATCAACAAATGCATTTCCTCTTTTGTAGATGAAAATAGAGTGATCGGCATAGGACTGCTTGAATCCGAGATCAAGTAAAGCCGGTGTGAACTTTTGGTACCAGTTTCTTGAGGCTTGCTTTAAACCGTATAGCGACTTTCTCAACCTACAAACCTTTGTTCCTCCCCCTTTGTCATAACCGTGTGGAATCCGCATATATATCTCCTCGTTCAAGTTGCCATGCAAAAATGCGTTATTCACATCTAGTTGGTGAATAGTCCATTCTTTCTTGACGGCAATGGCAAGTAAGCATCTAACCGTGACCAACTTAGCCACCGGTGCGAACGTGTCGTGGTAGTCAACACCTTCCATTTGCGTATAGCCCTTGGCAACGAGCCTTGCCTTGTATCTTTCTATTTCGCCATTCGTTTTATACTTTATTTTATAGATCCATTTTGAATCTATAGGTCGTTTCCCGTCGGGCAAGTCTTCTATGGTCCAAGTTTCATTCTCTTCAAGCGCCCTTATCTCTCTTTGCATGGCAACTCTCCACTCCTGTTTCTGCACAACTTGTTCAAAATCTTTTGGCTAATCATTTGGAGTGATGGCAGTTAAAAAAGCTTTGTGTGAGTCGGAGAATTTTTCATAGGAAACAAAATTAGCAATGGGAAATACCGTTGAGGATTCTTGACCGGAGCTGGTTGTGCGTGGTCTATAGACCGGGGGGGGGGGTCGGACTTCATAATTGTTGAGATGTGCTGCTCTTGTTTGGTTTCGTTTTTCTCTTATTTGAGCAATATTTTCATTTTGGGTCTCGATGCCTTCATTCTCAATTTGTGCCGAGTCTCCTAGCCCATCATTGGGCCCACTCTCTTCCAAGGAATGTGGGCTTTCAAGGATTATCTCTTGATCATTTGGGTTGTCAAAGGCCAACTCTTCCTCCTCTATTTGCTCAAGGTCATCAAGATGACTGGTTATGTCATTTTGGCCCAAAACTTCGTCCCTGCTTTGCTCCTTATTATCACCATCGAGACACCCTTCTTCCATTTGTGGGTACCTGAAAATATCCTCTTCATGTTTGCCTCCTTTATTTCTTGTTGCATAAGGAAACATCTTTTCCGCAAATTTTACGTCTCTCGATATGACAATTTTGTCATGATTCAGATCATATATTTTATATCCCTTTGTGCCGCTAGGATAGCCCATGAACACTCCCGGCCTTCCTCTTATTTCAAACTTCTCACCTTTGGTTTCGACACTTCGATAATAAGCCATGCAACCGAGTACCCTTATGTGATCATAACTTGGTTTCTCGCCATATAACAACTCATATGGGGTCTTATCTTCTATAACTTYGGAGGGMAGCCTATTAATGATATRGGTTGCGGTTAAGATGCACTCRCCCSRAAATCTTATTGRAAGATTGGCTTCGATCTTGAGTGCTCGAGCTGTTTCAAGCAGATGCCTATGTTTCCGCTCCACAACTCCATTTTGTTGTGGAGTATGTGGACATGTGGTTTCCAAGACAATTCCTTGTTCGGCATAATTATTCAACATTTTATTCTAAGTGAACTCCCCACCGTTGTTGCACCTTAATCTTTTAACGTGTCTTTCAAATTGTGTTTTGATCAATTTGTAAAAATCAATTAGACACGTGCTTGCTTCATACTTGTGCTTACGACCCTACTATAATCATCAACTATTGTTAAAAAATAACTTGCCTTTGAAAATGTAGGTGTTCGATATTTTCCCCATATTTCACAATGTAATAATTCAAAGCAGGCACTTGTTTTCGTGGTGCTAATGGGAAAGGGTTTTCTTGTCATTTTGGATTTAACACACGAATCACATACATCACCATTATTTTTGAAAGAAAAATTGCTAAGGAAATTTATTTTGGATAGTTTTTCATCACCGGCATGTCCAAGTCTCTTGTGACATACATCCCCCGTCACCATTATTGCTTTTCTTTTACTCCGAATATCCCCATTTGATATAGACCGTCATCGCACTTACCCGCTCTAATCAACCTCCTCGAACGCAAGCCCAACATAACAAAGAATTCGGGAAAAAAAGTTATAGCGCACTTTAAATCCTTTGAAAGCTTGCTAACAAACAAGAGGTTATAATTGAATTTTGGAACGTGCAAAACTCCTTGCACTTTCATTTCGTTTGGAAGTTTGTGATTGCCTCTTCCTTCAACTGGTACGACTTCTCCATTCGGGATGGTAACAGGCGTCTCATTGACTGAGACAATCCTTTCTTCAAGGATGTTGGTTTTGTGTGTTATGTGTTCTGTACACCTGAGTCGACAGTCCATTCATCATTACGATAAAGTTTACCTGCCATGTTGGCTGACCGGGGTGCATCGGACTGCATCGCCTTATTCTCTGGATCAAAAAGCTTCAGAAACTGCTCGTATTGCTCTTTTTTCAAGTTTGCAATGGGAAACTTCTGCACATGCTGCCTTCGGCTTTCCTTTCTCCCGTTTGTTCTTCTCCGGCCACCACTCCGGGTAGCCAATCCGTTTGAAGCAACCATCCCGCATGTGCCCATCTCTATCACAAAAATCGCAGTGACCCGTGGGCTTCTCACCTTTCTGCACGGTTTTGTTGGGGCTGACATTGCACTTTAGAGATGCTTGGAATGTTGCAGCCTTGTTGACGGTTCTTTTCCTACTGGTTATAGATCTTTGCTGCTCGTCCTCGGCAACCAAATGATAAGCATTTCCCAGTGATGGGATCAGTTTCATTGCAAGTATTTGAGTCCTGATGACGGAGAACTCACCATCCAAACCCATGAGAAACTTGTAAAGTTGTTCCTTTTCACGAAGTTCCTTGAGTGATTTCCCAAGGCCACAAGTACAACCATTACACATACATTTTGGGGTGGGAAGGATTACATTTCGTCCCACAGCACGTGGAGTTTCGTGTAATAAGCCGATACTGTCATGCCGTCTTGTCTTGTGCTTGAGATGGACTGTTTTAGGTCATATGCACGGGGTGCGCTTTCCTTGCCAAACCTCTCTTGGAGGTCTGACCAGATTTCCGCAACAGAGCGGATCTCTTTGTCCATGGCCGTGGTGAGCCACCTTTGATCATTGCATCACATCGCATCCATGCCATGTGATTAACATCGGTCTTTTCTGGTTTCTCGATGGTTCCATCGATGAATCCTATCTTGTTCTTAGCAAAGAAGAAATTCTCCATCTCTTGGACCCAATCAAGATAGTTGTTGTCAGCTAACACATCATTAACGTGCATTTGTCTTGGGTAGTCTGAAGGGCGACGGTAATAAGGAGAGTTGTGATCAGAGGCGCTCCCATTGCCTTTGGGATTGTTTTTGTTTGGGTCATCGCCGGCCATGGAGGCCTGGAGATTTGGCAATTAGGGTTAAGTAATTTGGATCGAGCGTGATAAACACCGCTATGATACCATAAAGAATTCAGAGCAATTTTGGTCTGTGAATTTGTTGCTACAATACTATTACAAGCAGAAGTTTAAAAAAGGCTAGCAAAAGGAACAAACCAAGGAAACTCAATATTCTAGGAGCTAAAAAAGGACAGCCAATATAAGCGATTGGGAGGTAAAACAGGAGAGTGAATCATGCAATTTTATACAATCTGTCCCAAAATATTGATACCGATTGTTTTTTTTACTTATTTAAATGTTTGACTAATAGTCGAACACTTCTTTTAGATTATGTCAAATCAGAAGCCATATTTTTCTTATATGGATTTATCCAACACTTTGGCCAACCCCTCTAAATGAATCATATATTTTAGGCCTCTTCCATAATGGAGAAAAGACCATAGGGTTTTGGTTAGGCTCACCCCTTGGGTTGTCAAAATTAACATGTATTTTGGGAAGCAAGAGTACATATTATTAGTTAAAAATTACTAGACTAGACATGAAAACTCCAAGTGAACCTTTTTTTCTGGAACAGAGGGGTAGCATTCTTTTTGATGGTTTAGAATAACTATATGCGCATATCTAAGAATTTGTTGTGTAAAGAAAAGAGCTACCATTTCCTTTTCTGTATTGGTTTAAGAAAATTTCTATTTTGGATTTGTCCAGAAATTTTTGGAAGTGCTTAAGCAAGGCCATTAAGTTTTGTGCTGTTAAATATTTTCTTTTACTGAAAAATTATACCCTTTTTTACAGTTAGTTTGCAATTGACACCGATGACCATGAAAGTTTCTCAAAGGTTATATGGCATCTGGCTGCAGATGATCGATTTGACAAGTTAGTTTGTATAAAGCATGTGAGTTGAAAAACTCGTAATTCATTACTGAGTACTGAGTGTTTGTGCATTCTTTTTGTGAATTTTGGAAACCAATATCACATATATTGCATGCTAAGAGGGATATGCCAACTTAGTTTCTGCAGTTCTGTTTGGACCTCTTGTGATAACTCTTTGGACTGAAAAAATGCTCCCAGAGTGGAATCTATACTAGATATCGCAAGGTTATAACAAAGTCTAATGTTATTCAAAAGCTATTTCATACACCTAATAAGATTTTTTAACCCTCAATTATTTCGTTGAATCCCTAAATTTTTATATGATGTGTCTGCAGTTGGTTCTGGCAATGAATAATCTAAAGTCCTCTTCCAACAACTTTTTGAATGAGTTCTATATTCCTGATTACATCCTTGTTCCGGGAGGAAAGTTTGAGGCTCTTAGTTTTGCACCTGTATGCCCAACAATAGTATTTGTGAACTCCAAGAGTGGTGGTCAGTTGGGTGGTGAACTTCTTGTCACATACCGTTCTGTTCTAAATGAAAACCAGGTACTCTGTCATTCAATTATGTATTGACTAATTCAGTTCAGAATTATTTTGTTGGCACATCTAACTTTATGTTTACCTACAAGGTTTTTGATTTAGGTGAAGAAGCTCCTGATAAAGTGTTACGCAGACTGTACCTCACTCTAGAAAACCTCAAACTTAATGGAGATGCCTTAGCTACTAAGATAGAGAAGCAGTTACGAATAATTGTGAGTCAACTTAAGAATTTTCACTTGGCTGTCGTAAGGTTAAATTTTCATCTACATGATTGAGGGCTCTTAATTTAAGTTGCATTATGTAGATCACATATCATTTATTTAAAATGAATATTGCTGACATGGAGGTGGTTCATCAGGTTGCTGGAGGAGATGGAACCGCTGGTTGGCTGCTTGGAGTTGTTAGTGATCTGAAATTATCTCATCCTCCTCCTATTGCAACTGTGCCATTAGGAACTGGAAACAATCTCCCGTTTGCATTTGGTTGGGTAAGAATAAACCATGATTTTTCAGTGGTGGCAACATGGACTTACATGCCTTTGTCTAGTAATCATATGCTTGCTTGTGAGGCAAAAAATGGGACGTCAAATAAAAATAATTCACTTACGGGTGGGTATGTTCAGTTATCTCAACCACACGTCTAGTCTCTTGCACTCCATAGTGGAAGCTCATTCTTTTTGTAATTATGTAATGCTGTCATGATATGAGCATAATATTGTTAAATAATCTGGGTTTTGTGTAGTTAACTGTCTCAAGGACCCTATTGAGTATTGAGTAGCCCCAATGCATGTAGTTAGCTTGGTTATCTTGAAGTCATTTGGGTTAATAAAGGAACTTGCAGTTACATTCCAGTATTTTGGAGATTAAGAATCTGATCCAAGTCGATGATAAATTGGAAGACTTGCTCTTCTTTAATCTCTATTCTATAATAGTAAACTTGATTTGAACATGATTTTAAATGAAGTCAAATTACCTGTTCTATAATGCAGTAGGTGAGCATCTCTTCTGTTAATAAAAGTAAGTTTACATTATTCTTATTATAACTCTGTATAACTTGAAGTTCTGATTTTCAGGGAAAGAAGAATCCAGGAACAAATCGTGAATCTGTTTTGCACTTCTTGGATCAAGTTATGAAAGGAAAAGAAATGGAGATAGACAGGTATCCCTATTTTTGGAGTTGGTGGTTAATGAATTCCCTTAGTTTAGGTTTATCGTTTTTCAGGGTTTAGGCTTTAGAATTTGCAGATCAGATTTTTGAGTATTCAATGAAGGAAAGTAGAGAAAGGTTTTCTAGTTTAAGTGGTAGGCTTAGTTTTTTCTTCTCCTTAAAAGAATAATAGATTAGGGTTGTCTTGCATGTTGTATACACATGAGAATGAACCTTGTTCTACTGGTCATTTCTAGAGACATTAGTTTTGTTAATTTTGGAAAAGGAACACTAGCGCTTAAATGTCCGAGCAAGTCCCAATATTTTCTTTTCTATAAACACGCAGGTCCACAAACGATTCTCACTGGGTTATTGTTGCTCAACGTTTATGTAATATCTTGGATCCTGTCCATCTTGAATTTTGTTACCGAAGTCACCTTTCATCCCTACTGTCTAGTCCAATATTACATAGCAAAGTGTTTAAAAACAGTTATTTTCACCTTAGAAACCATCCTGGCTGCACCTGACTGGGTTACTCACTTAGGGCTGCTGCCGTTGGAGAATTAATGGTGCACCCATTACATTTCTAATGGGCTATTATATAGGCTTTTATTTTGCATGCCCATATGACAATCATTTAGAATAAGCCAATGTTATTGTGTAGTTGATGAGATTATATGAGGTTCTATGCAAAGCTGAGGTATGGAGTAGCAAATTAGAATTTAAAGGTTTTAGATTGATCCAAACCACAGGACACAGATAGCCACTTGAGATAGGAAGCAGAAAATGTGATAAGCATGTCTGCAAATGAAATGATTAGGATATAAGAGTGGCTGGATGAATGGAGATAAGCTTTAAGAGTTCTGTGTAATCATAAAGTCCCATCGGAGCTGAAAAGTATGTTCTCTAGAACGACACTTGCTATGATTTACACGGTCAAATGTTGGGTCACCAAAAATATGTGCACTAGTTGAGTGAAGTAGAAATGTGAATGCTAAAGTAGATGCATGGAAATACAATGAGTGGGATAGGATCAGAAATTAATGATATCGGAAAAGGTTGGGGTGGTACTAGTTGATGAAAAGCTAAGACAACAAGCTTGTGATGTGTTTATAGATGGTCTTCTATTAGTCCTGGTTATGTTCTGTTTAATGGCCATTAAGTCATTAAGTTGGAGTCTGCAAGGGTCTCTTCTCAGGCCGCTATTGCTGAAGTCGGAATCAGAATCCTCTTCACCAAATCATTGTAGTCGCTTAATGTGAAAAATGGTTGCCTCATATGCGTTGTGCCTTGGTGTGCCACAGTCAAGGTGTGCATTGCCGAGGTACCCTAGCTTCATGTTGCTGCACTTCTCACCTAGGCAAGCCTCTAACAATAATGCTTTCTACATTCCTAATATGGCCTCAAATAGTTTCCTAAAGCATAGTTTGGACAATTTTGCAGAAATTTAAACAATTTTTTAATCCTTAATGACATTGATGATTTCATATTTTTAGTGATGTATGTCAAGAAAACATGTTATCTTGTGCTATGTGTTGATAGCATTGTACTCATTTTAGATGACCATATGTAATGGATTTGAAGAGCTTCACTAGGATATAGTTTCAATGTACTGATCTTGGACAGTTTTTGTACTTTATATTGATAGAGGTGTTACAGTCTCATCCGGAGATATTATTCTACCTGAGGAAGTATATTCTAGATCTTTTGTTCGAATGTGGACTATATGGATGCAGACCAATAGATTCACCTATGACCCAGTATGGAAAATACCGCTTGAAGATGAGAAGCCTTTGATGATTCAGAAACAACATACCCTCTTGGTCAGGAGACCATCTCTTATCCTTGTGTGTAATAAGTAGATTCACATTCGTCCTTACACTGGATGTTGGGATACTGGCCTTCTAATGTTGAGATATATCAAGGGCTCTCTAAGGAGTGGTTCCATATTCATATCATGGACACTGCACAGTGGGAGCTTTCACATAATAGGAGGTGTGACAGAAGCGTAGGCTTCAATCAGGCAGAATGTCCCATTACCACAAGATCTATTTCTGACTACTACTATTTATGGTTGCAACATTGTTTCTTAAGAAAGTAAGGAACATCATTCAGGCGCTGAATCTGAATACCCAGCTATGGCAATGTCTTAGACCAGATGGATGAGATGTGTTACATGAGTTAGCCATTAGGTACTCTTTTGAATATGCTAATGACGCAATTTTGTGATAATTAGCCTGCTAAACATATGGTCACTAATGATCTGTAATTAACATCATTCATTTGATGTGATGTAGGTCTCTAGTTCAAGTCCATATTGGCTTCTGATCATCTATGATCCTTTTCTGACCTTACAAGCTTTTGGTACAAGTCCTATTACCTGAAGCTTCTCTTACTACCTTTGAGCTAAAATCTGCTTCTCGACATTCTACTCTATCTTAAATATATAGAAATTATAGCATCTGTTGGTAGTCTAGAAATTTTGTGTACTTTATTTTCACCACCAAGTACCTTAAATTTGATGCCCAATTTCTCTACTTTCTCCACGCCATAGCTACAATTCAGAGAAAATAGCGATCATAATTTTCTCCTCCAATGTATTGAAGTTGAGTCTTTTCTTGTTCCACCATCTCATCCTGTGGGATGTCATCATCAGCAATCCTTGCAGCTTTACTAAAAGTTCCCTAGGTATGACTTTATAGTTGATACATGATAACCAATCCTCTCTCATAGCAGGTACAGTAACTGTATTTATTACTGCAACTAAAGGTTAATGTGTCATTATCTTGTTTAATGAAGATACTTTATTGTCATCATATCTTTTCCTAACATTAAATTTCACGTGTTACAATACGTTGATATATGTATATATGTATATCTGTCCTAAGCCAATTGTATCATTAACACCGAGAAATGGACACGTCATCATGAAGATCTCGATTAACAGTTTTACTTCAGCAAAAAGTGCTTTAACCCATTTGGTATTGTACTTATTTTTAATAAATGTTCAATATTCTACTTGTAAATACATGTGTGAAGTTTTATATAGTTGATATATGCATCAAGGGAAGAGGGAATTGATGCTTTAGTAATTGATATACGTTTCAGTGAGAAATTATTTTAATCGTTAGAAAGACTGATAACATTTGATAAAAATCTTACTTACAAAAATGATTTTGTGGTCGTTGATTCCCACAATTTGCAAGGTAAATATACCAATCACATTAATGGGATCTTTTAAACATTTCTCATCATTTGTATCAATCTGTTGCATATATAACTTGTACATCAAATATTTTTTTGCTACATTATTACATTCTTTTCGTCAATTATCAAACATGGGAACTTATAAGCTTTATTGACTTCATATTTCTGTTCTTTTTGACATATAATGCAGTTGGCACATTCTTATGAGGATGAAATCCACCCCAAAAGAAGGTTCTTGTGATCCCATTGCCCCCCTGGAGTTGCCACATTCTTTGCATGCATTCAATCGTGTGTCTGATACAGATGAACTTAATGTGGTAAAGTATTCTGTTATATTTTTGTTCTCAAAAGGGCATTCATTTGTTGCTGCACTCCTGCTTTTGATATATCTTTGCTATAAGCAACAGAAAGTTATGTTAGTTTTAACAAACATGAAGTGGGGATGTAATTGCAAAGTAATCTCTCTTTCTCATCCCAACTTTTTTCCTAACTCTTCTGCATATCACTTCCACTTTGAGAAAGTTCACCTTTCATAATTATTTTTCACCTCTAACAATGTATATCACTGTTTCTGAAAATCCCTCCCTAGTCGTTGACACTGAATCTAAACCACTGCATAAAATACAACACTATTTTCACCTGTAGCCATTAATTATTTGATTTGTTTTTTATTGCTATAACCAGATTTCTTATTGCAAAATAAATGCCCTTTGGGACACATTTACAGTGTCCATAACTCAAGTACTAAAAAACCTTTTGCACTCTTAACTCCCTTTACAATAAACAATTTAGCCATTCACCAATTCCCAGGAAAGCTACACTAACTGCTGGTCTCAGAATCTCTCTGGAATTCTGTCAAATGTCTAATCAAATCGTGAATCTCTGTGGTTCTTGGAGCCAAGGGTGCAAGCATGATTTTTGCATTTCTTGGATTGATATGGCAGGCCAGACAACTCTAGGGTTGGTGTCAAGTCATTTAGTTTTAAGATTATATGTACTAGTCTTTAGTATATAATTGAGGTACCTTCCACATGTGACAACCATGTAATCTCCCTTGTCTACATATCACAAGAAAAATGTCTAGTCCCCTATCCGCTTTCAAACTTTGGGCAAACCCCAAATAACTCATGAAATAAGTCATCTTCAATGTTGGGGACTATGTCCAATGCCATGTTCTCAATCTAATGAAATGAGGACTGTGACATGATAGGAGTCCAAATGACTATTCTTTGTTACCCTGTGAGACTCTCTTGAAACTCCCCACTTTTTTATGTTTTCTACTTCTAGTAATTTTATCACATCGTTGTTAATATCACCACAAAATAATCAATAGAATTATCTTCATCATGTGCAACATATGTTTTGCTTATTTGTTTCCTGCAAGATCTTTTCATTTGAATTCAACTTTCTTGTTGCATATTTATTTCATGTGCTTGGTAAATATTCTCAGTCAGGTTATGACACATTTCGTGGAGGATTCTGGAACTATTTCAGCATGGGTAAGTCTCAACAATTGACTTTCTCTTCCAAATTCTATGATAATCTAGTAGTTTTCCAAGAGGTTGCTTCATTTAAACTGAAAATTCCTTGCACATAGGGATGGATGCACAAGTATCGTATGCATTTCATTGCGAGCGGAAGTTGCATCCTGAAAAATTCAAAAATCAGTTGGCTAATCAGGTATGATATAAGTAAGTGATCGTTGAATGAAGATAACATGTTTTCAGATTATCAATCCCCTTAGCTCTCTCCAAAATTGGTGAAGAGAAAATCTCAGCAGAAAGACACCTCAGTACCATGAAGTCAGCATCTGTGAATACCTCAATGAACCTGTTATCTCCTTTCTTGAAGTATACTTTCCCGAGGGTCCGTTTTAAGTACCTCAATACTCTATAGGTTGCTGTCATGTGTCTTTCCTTTGGGGAGTGCATAAATTGGTTGATAACACTCACATCAGAAGTGATATTTGGCCTTGTGTGTGAGAGATAAATGAGTTCTCCTACTAGCCTTTGATATCGCTCTCGTTCAACCTTTGGACCATCTACCAAAGGGCCTTCGGCCTAGCGGTATCGTAGTCCTTGGCCTCGTAGGAGGTCAAGGGTTCAAACCTCACCAACGGTGAGGAGGGTGTGTGAGTTTATTTGTTGCATTTGCCATATATAATTATTATATACTTCAAAAAAAAAAAAAAAAACCTTTGGACCAGCTTCTTCTGCTCCTAGTTTTTTTGGTTCCATTCGGGTGTTGGCAGGTTTACATCCCATCATTCCGGTCTCTGCTAGTAAATCGAGCACATACTTCGTTTTTGAAATGGAGATTCCTTCTTGGCTTCTTGCAACTTCCATTCTTAGGAAGTATTTGAGTGGTCCAAGGTCTTTCACTTGAACTCTGAGCTGAGGTAGGTTTTTAGTTGGTTGATTTCATCCAAGTCGTCTCTTGTCATGATTATGTCATCAATGTACACGATAAGGATTGAGATCTTGCCATTTTCCAAGTGCTTGAAGAACACAGTGTGATCCGTTTTTCCTTGACTGTATCCTCTACTTGTTATTGCTTGAGTGAATCGGCTAAACCACTCCCTCGATGATTGTTTTACTCCGTAAAGTGACTTCTTCAATCTACAAACCTTTCCTTCAGGGTTTCAAATCCAGGGGGAAAATCCATATAAACTTCCTCATTGAGATCGCCATTTAGGAGCACATTTTTAACGTCCAATTGCATTAGAGGCCAATCAAGGTTAATTGCCAAGGAGAGTAAAAGTCGAACAATATTGAGTTTTGCAACAGGGGTAAACGTCTCTTGATAGTTAATGCCAAATGTTTGAGTGTAGTCCTTAGCTACAAGTCTTTTCTTGTACCTGTTTATGCTGCCATCACCATTGTACTTGGTGGTGAACAACCATTTGCATCCCACGGTCTTCTTCCCTGTTGGAAGGTCACTTAGCTCCCTTGTTCCATTATTCTTCAAGGTTGTTAGTCCTTCCAAGACTGCACTCTTCCATTTAGAGGATTGAAGAGCTTCTTTTATGGTTTTTGGAGTTTCAACTTGATCCAAATGAGTGACGAATGCCCTATGTCACTATGTGTAGTAGATAGGACACAAAATTGGAAATGAGGTGCTTTGTACATGATCGGACTCCCTTTTGAAAGGCAATTGGGAGATTTTCATGACATGTAGTATCCGAGAAAGCAACTAATGGTCGTTCATTTACAGAACAATTTTCGAGAACAACTTCTTGGCAATCAAAAGTCGTTGATTTATCCATTCTGGTAGAGTGATGTCTCCTCGAATAAACAAGCAAATCAGGTCCATTAGATTTGGGAACCTGGGGGGTTTGTACCACGGGAAATTCATGAGTAATGATGGTGTTTGGTGGTGGTTCTAGGAAGGGATTTTCTGGGAAGGGAAATATTAGAGTATCATGTTGGATTTCTCGATTTTCAGCAACTTCAAGGTCAAGGAGACCATTTAACGACTCATCTTCATTTAGAGTTTCCCCCTGAAGATGAGGCCTGTTTAAATAGGGCTCAGATTTGAAAAAAGTGACTCGTTAGAGACAGATTCATCGCAAGGCTGGTGAGAAACACTTGTATCCTTTCTGTGTCGATGAATAGCCAATAAAGACACATTTACCGGCACGAGAATCGATTTTGGACTGATTTGGGGCACGAGAATGGACGAAAGTTATACACTCAGTTTTTTGGTGAAAGATAGGAGGCTTGAAATAGTGGAAATGATTTCTTTAGGACATCTATTGGGGTTTGCAGGCTAGAATTTTTTAAGGTAATCGATTTATAAGGTAACATGCAGTGAGAATAGCTTCACCCACTAATATCTATGGAATGTCCATCGTGAACATTAGGGCATGTGCTATGGGCTAATAAGTCGATTCTTTCGTTCGGAGACACCATTTTGTTCGACTGTGTCTGGATATGAGCTTTGGTGAATAATGCCATGATCATAGAGGTAGGTTCCTAGGGTGGAGTTAAAGTATTCCCTACCAAGGTCAGTACGGAGCGACTGGATTGTTCATTTGGAATTGATTTTGGATCATGGTGTGAAAGGTTTGGAAGGTTTTTGGGGCTTCTGATTTGTCTTTAAGGAGATAAACCAAACATAGGCGTGTATGGTCATTGATGAATGTGATAAACCATTTTGATTCAGAAATGTTTTTTATATGGTTGGGTCCCCAAATATCGCTGTGAATTAATGAAAATGGTTGAGAGGTAGCATAAGGTTTTAGAGAATAAGGAACACGAGTACGTTTTGACAACTTGCAAATATCACACATAAAAGAACCAACATCTTTATTTCGAAATAGTTGAAGAAATAAATGTTTTAAGGTCCTGAAAGTTCGGGTGCTCTAGTCTACGATGCCAACATCATGATTGTGTCATTATTGGAATGTGAAATTGTAGAGCTTGAATATGCTTATTTATTCTTAGATTCATTGCTTTTCCAGATATAGAGTCCATATTCGACTTTAACATTGCCAATCGTCCTCCCCGATCCTTGTTCTTGCACAAGGCAATCAGTGGAACAGAATAGACGATTGGCAATGTTAAAGTCAACTTTAGAACATGAAGGACTGTAGTGAGTGTAATTTGATCTGTGAGGCGAATCGAGCCCGTGCCTGCAACCAGGGAGAAGGATCCATCGGCGATCCCCTGGATTGTTTGTGGCTGGGACTATACATATGAAATAGAAGCTATGCTGTTAAAATTGCGATATATCGCCGATATATCGGATATTGGTCTCTGGAAAAATATCGGTGGTGAAATATCGGTTCCGATAATATCGCCGGTATTTTGATGGAAAAATCGGTCCGATATACCGATTTTCTATAAGGCAAATGTTTGGGCTTTTTTTAATTACATGTTGGGCTTAATTTTTTGGGCCTCTTTATTTGGTCAACCAGTCAACACATATATTAGATCTCATGCTTCTTCTCTTCTCGATTCTTGATAGTTCATGTTTCTTCTCACGAAGAAGTGAAACGTATTAGATGATGTTGACTCGGATGCCGAACCTATTGCTTGCGATTAGCTCGTTTCTGAACACTTCTCCTATTTTGTTTTGTAAGACTTGTTTATGTGACGTTTTAATTTTAAAACTATATTTCTAAACTCTAATTAATGCATTATGATATGTTTATGGATGCATACATATAATATATATATATATATATAATTCTAAGAAATATTATGTTAAGCGTTATTTTGGACCGAAATATCGAATATCGGTCTTGACCGATATTTTGTACTTTGACCACAGTAACAACATAGATAGAGTTGCCAGTCATGTGATCGGATTCCCTGAGTCGAAGATCCAATGGGTATTACCACTAGACTTATAAAGGACATTAAGGGCTGTACCTTGGATGGGTTTGCTGAGGAGTTGGTGCAGTCTCTCTAACTGGGCCTGTTATACTGGACATTCATTACCTCATCTGAGGTTGGTGGTGCCTCTGATGCAGGAGGGTATGATGTTTGGTGCGCCTTAGTTGTGGTTTGATTCTTCTCACACGTGTGGTCTGTTCTGTTGCAATGAGTATACCATACAAGATCTCCTCTTTCTCGAGGCTTAAAGTGGGTAGTCCTTTTGAGACAAGTGCAGAGGTCTCTATAGAACGATTGCCATTGTTGGAGACTGGTTTGGCTTCTTTTTGTTCTCCGAGCATCACACGCCGACGGTTTTCTTCATGGTGAACCTCAGCACATGCTTCACCAATTGATGGTAAAGGGATTCGACCCATAGTTCTCCCACATACCTCATCCAAATCATGATTTAAGCCTGCTAGGAAATCATAGTCTTTCTTTCTCCAAGTGAGCCTTGAATTTGACATGTCCTTCGACTTCGCCTCAATTAGCTTCATCGAACTTAGCAGTTCTTGTCATAAGACTTTAAACAGTTATAGTAGTTAGTTAGTTCAGATGTACCTTGATGAATCTCTTTCAACTTCATCTTGATTTTGAACACTTGAGAAGCATTTCCCAAGTCAGAATAGTTTCCAATGACCGCATCCCAGATATATTTTGTTGTTTTAAGCAGCAAGTAGGTATGACTGATGTTGCTTCCGATAGAGTTGACGAGCCATGCCATCCAATTGAGTTCCCACATATCATATTGCTTATCAGTTGAACTAGCGCGAGAATGCTACCATTGAGGTATCCAGGTTTGCCCCTTCCTCGAATAACCATCATGACTGATCAAGATCACTGCAAAAAATTCTTTCCATCGAGTTTGTGACCGGTAATCGCCAAAGGATAGTTATCACTGTTGGTTGGGGTCTATGAATCGGTAGAAGATTCGGATATCATGGTTTCTTTTGTCATGATGCTTGACAACATATCGTGATGAATTACTCAACCGAATGCAAAGGAAAAATCGTGCAGTTTCGCAACAATTAAAGAGGGAAAGAGGAATCCTCACTATAGTAGTGTTGGAGCACAGAAACACAGCCTGGATGTTGAGGCTTTGATGCTATATACGAATTCAAGGGAGAAAAGATTTATGTGTATTTCAATACTTTGGAGAATACATTTATATGGTTAGGATACAACAAACTAAACCTACAACTTAGGGAACAAACTTTGGATTAACATGGCTAACAAACTCCCTGAAGACTAGGAAAGATAATTTTGGATATTCCAACACTTTTTTTATCCGCTAAGCACTTA